ATGGCAGAACAGAATACACTAAACAGGAGGAACAGAACCAAAATCACTAATAGAAAACACAAAACGCTGGGTCAAAAGGACCCAGGATCATGACATATACAAAAGAATCTGCAGGACACAGTCTTTAGAAAAAGAGAAGTAAACATCTGATTTCTTACCTAAGAGTTTCAAGTTTACAGTGTGGGCTCTCCAGTCCAGCTAACAACCCTCTTACGCCAGAATCCTGCAAGTCATTGTTACTCAGATCCAGCTCTCTCAGGCTACAGGACTCAGAGCAGAGAACTGTGGACAGGGCTTCACTGCTTCTCCACGACAGTTTGCACACAGCCATCCTTTAGAGTTAAGGTTAGAGATGTGTTTTAAACACACTTCATATTCTGTGTTACTGAATTAGCTTTCTGGTTGGACAAATCTAGATCACTGCAAATATTAATACAAAAACACAAAAATGCCACCACCCTAAATTAATTAAGAAATTATGTCCCAATTATATTTAATAGAAATTAATTTGACAATTTAAGCATTACTGTTGCCATATTTGAAGTGTAATACTTTGCAATGGATTCCTAACCTGAGAATTTCCAGTTTACAGTGTGCACTTTTCAATCCCACAAATAGCTGCAGCATTCCTGAATCATGCAGGTCATTGTTACTCAGGTCCAGCTCTTTCAGACTAGAAAATTGGAGAATTGAGGAAAGCTCTTTCCAGCTTCCCCCTGACAGGTGACAACCACCTAGCCTAAGCAGGAAATAGTAATTACAAATGTTTAATGTGTTCAGTTATGTTATTATATTATATATATATCATGTCATCCACTTACAGAGCTCTGTTGGAGGCTTTGAACACTGGGAGTAGCCTTAGAAGAGCTTCTTCTGAAGCAGAGTATTTCTTCAAGTCAAATATGTCCAGATCTTCATCTGATGACAGTAAGATGAAGACCAGAGCTGACCACTGAGCAGAAGACAGTTTATCTGTAGAGAGACTTCCTGAACTCAGGAACTGTTGAATCTCCTCCACTAGAGAACAATCATTCAGTTCATTCAGACAGTGGAACAGATTGATGTTTTGCTCAGTAGCCTCATTATTGCTGATCTTTTTCTTTATATACTTGGCTGTTTTGTGATTGCACTCTGAACCTACTGTTTTCTGGAGTCCTCTTAAGAGATTCTGACTGTTCAGCAGTGATAGCCCAAGGAGGAAGCGGAGGAACAAGTCCAGGTGTCCATTTGGACTCTGTAAGGCCTTGTCCACAGCAATCTGATGAAGGAGTTTTAGACTAGATTTGTTTTTAAAGACCTTAGGCTTCTTAGAAGCCATTTGATCTTCCAGCATGTTGACCCCAGAGTTGCTGAATGTAAGATGGACATGAAGAGCAGCCAGAAACTCCTGAACACTCAGATGGATGAAGCAGAACACCTTGT